AACAATGAGTTATTCCCACCATGAGGGAAAAACAGAAAAACATTTCCCATGAAGGGATCCTAAATATTGAATTATTCCCACTCTGAGGGAAAAATAAAAAAAAAAAAACATTTGAACCAAAATAAGCAAACAGACAGCAAAACTTCTAACCTCTGGGCTCGCTTGCTGTTCAGCCAGCAGAAATGAGGCCTACCTGCCGATTCTTTGTAATTCAGATGCTGCACTGCAGAAAGAGCTCAGAATTTCAGCTATTCTGAAAATTCTACAATTGGAAAAAGTCTTTTATTCCTCCATTACCACTGGGAAGAGGCTTCTCTCTTTTGTTCATCCTTCCTCTACAGGACCCCAATCTTTAGGCCTAGTTTCAAAATTTTTCCCCCTTTTACCAGGAAAATCCTTTTTTCTTGATTAAAATTTTTCTCCCTTTTCTAACAGGAAATTTCCTTTCCTTCCCTCTTCTCTTTTGGGAAGATTTCCTTTTTTATTTAAAATCTTTAGCTGTCTTGCCCTATCTAACTGCAGCGGTGCCCTATTTGCACCCATGACAATTCACTCTTACCTTTTTCTTTTTTCTTTAAAATGCTGGCCAGGCTTCCAAGAGTGTCCATCAGCTCGTTCCTTCTTTCTCAGATCTCGGTAGGGTCTTGGTAGAATTTCAGTAGGGACCTCCATTTGTTGCGTTAACGCCCGTGTTACCGATACCTGTTCACCATGTCCGAGCGAGGGGCTGTGGATTAAAAAATAAGGGACAAGAGACAGCGAGTCACTTGCCATAGCTGAATGCCAAATGCCGTTTATTGAAAGAGGGAGGAAACCTTAAATGCAGGCTTACAGCACAATGAGGATCCCCGGAGGGCAGAAGTTCACTACATTCTTGCATCTAAGCTGTTTACACCAAATGCAGGATACAGGAACAAGGAACCTCCTGTTGATCCTTAGGTGAGAAGGAAACCAGCAGGGAATCTGAATAGGGAGGACATCTGGTCAAGGTTGGCAAGCAAGGCGGCAGCCACTCACAGTGAGGGCCCAGGGCCCACACTATATCCCTAATCTTCTTTTATTTTTTATTGGTTAAGGTCTCCCTTAGTTATCTAGGTTGTCTTTGAAGTCACAGTGTACCCCAGGCTACCCTTAAACTTGCTGTCATCTTGTCATAGCCTCTTAGAAGCTGAGGTTATATGCCTGTAATGGCTAACACACATTGCTTTCAAAGAGTTCTAAGAAAGGCCATTTTGCTCAGGGGCAAGCAGTGATCAGTTTCCCATACTCATGCCTGAGCCATGGCAAATATTTGATTCATTAAAGTATTTTAAATGAAAACAAGTATTCATTTACCCCTCTCTTCTATCTTTTAGGCTCTGAGCTCTTGATGATGCAGCCATGCATGTCCTAATCAGAAAAGAGTGTCTCAATAAGGCAGCATCAGGCTTGAAGGATTTGTTGACAGAGTTAATGCTGGGCAGGGTGAAGGAAGGGTGAGGATTCCATCCTTGGAAGAAATGAGGAAGCTATGAGGAATCTTTATTTCACCTCTAATATCACACCCAAAGGTCAAAGGATGGCTAAGTGGAGAAAGTTTTGGTGCTTCTTGACTCCTGGCAGTTTCAGGAAATCAATAAATAGTCTAGCACATGTTGCAGAAGAGAATTCAGTTGCTACTCAAAATTTTTTAATCATTAGGCCAAAAAAAAAAAAAAAAAAACCCAACCACTATGTGAGGAGAAAGATCAGTCAAGCTGCATTTGTAAACTTCCATTTTGATTTTAGAAACATTCTTTTCTTCAAGCAGTAATTTGCCTCTCCTTAGACAGTGTGATGGTCTCCAAGGTCAAATAGCAGAAATGGCCAAGCACCAGGCAAAAGTAGATGTGAAAAGGGAGCAGACCTGAAAACCAATATATCCAATGGAAGGAAAATATGCAAAGGCTGTTACTTATCTGTTTTGTCCTATACTCAGACTATAGCTGTTTTCAATAGCCAAGTACAGATCATGCAATTCATATATAAATTTATACTGTAGCCTGAGAAAATATTAAGGCCAGGCCTTTGTAGAGATACAAATGGAATAGCTGAGGAGAAATGAACACATCCAGTTTAATATTAAGTTGAAGAAATATTTGCCACAAATTCTCAAGAGTTTACTGTATTGTTTTCTTATAACTTACAGTAACTCTCCTTTTTAAGGACTTGATATGAATTTTTAGTTTTTTTGACCAAGAGACCCAGAGTTTTAGCCTGGAGTCATGCTTACCATCCATCCATCCATCCATCCATCCATCCATCCATCCATCCATCCATTTCTGAGTTAGTTATACAAGCATTCATCATTGGCCTGGCTCTGTGAACACCACTAGAGATATGAACAAACAAATAACTGTGGAGCGAGTGTGACAAATGGTTTTGATGTGGGAGCCCATGAAAATATCACTATGACAGCCTCAAATTGTTTTGATCCTTTCTTATTACGTCTTGGTTGTTTAAAAAATGTATTCTGTTATTTGTAGAATCCTGTGGTGGTTTGAATGAAAATGGGTCTCATAGGCTCATAGGGAGTGACACTATCAGGGAGTGTGGCTGTGTTGGAATAGGTGTAGCTTTGTTGGAAAAAGTGTGTCACTGGGAGTGGGCTTTGAGGTCTCAGATGCTTAAGCCAGGCCCAGTGTCTCTCTCTTTCTGCTGCCTGAGGATCCAGATGTAGATAAGAATTGCTGTGGTCATGGTGTCTCTTCACAGCAATAAAAATCCTAACTAAGACAAAAGTTGGTACCAGCGACTGGAGTATTTCTGTGAGAGGCTGGACCATGGTTTTGCCTGGAGGAATATGGAATACTTTGAGACTCTGGGCACTTTAAGCAGGACTTAATGGGCCATACTAGTAGGAACATGGAAGACAGTGGTGCTGTGGTGCCTGAACTGGCCTACTCTGGTAATCAAATGCCCTAACTGTCATCATAGAGCCTTCATCAAGTGACTGAAGGAAGCCTATGCAGAGATCCACAGCCCAGCACCAGGCTGAGCTCCAGGAGACCAGCTCAAGAGAAAGAGGTGGAATTCTATGAGCAGAAACAATCAAACTAGACTAGTGTGAACTCTTGAACTTTGGTCCAATAGCTGTGGAGCCTCCATGGGACTTGACTGGGCCCTCTTCGTGGGTGAGACAGTTGTTCTGATCTGCTTGAGGGGCCCCTTGGCAGTGGGATCAGGATTCATCGCTGATGCATGGGCAGGTTTTTTGGAGCCCAGTGTCTATGGTAGGACACCTTGCACAGACTTGGTGCAGGGAGAGGGACTTGGACCTGTGTCAACTGAATGTGCCAGGCTCTGCTGACTCCCCATTGGAGACCTTGCCTTGGGGGAGGTGGGAATGGGGGCTGAGTTGGGGGGAAAGGTTGGGAATCAGGAGGTAGAAGAGAAGGGGATCTGTGGTTGGTGTGTAAAATGAATGGAAATTTCTTAATAATAAAAAAATTTAAATTTCTCCATTGGGCAGAGATAGTACACTCCTATGCCAGGATAGGGTAGCAGCACTAACACTTAAGATTTTCAATTTCAGATTTTACCATTAATAAAAATCTGATACTATTTGGGTCACAAGCTCAGGATTTTAAACTTGCAGGTATGAGTCTACTACTGCTTTTCAGATGTCCCATCCCTGCTCTAGTTCAGGAGTCTTTCTCACATGTCTATTCCTGAGGATGGCATTTTTCTCTCCTGGTATCCAATTACCAAAACTATAGGCCTGAAGGCTCCAAATAAATTCATAAAGTTTAACTCCCATCTCGAGTCTGTGTTCCAGCAGGCTGGCAGAAACATCGAAGCAGCAGTTGTGGACCTCAGCCAAATGTACTTGTTCCCTGTCCCTACAGCCAGGTCAGATAACCACATGCTTCTGACAAGTGCCCCATTGCCTTTGACTAATCCTTTCAACATTTTTTGGGGGGGCACTGACAATAATGCCCCAATGCCAGCTCAAAGTAGTTCCAGGAGAAAATACATTATCCCATGTTCCTTTTCCAAAGTAGGCTGAAATGCTGGGTCAAAAAAAACCAAAAAACCAAAAAAAAAAAAAAAAAAAAAAAAAAACAGGCATAGAGGACCAATTGGCTATCTAATGCCCATTGATATTTATCAACTGAAATGGTTCTGCAATAAGATAAGACACTTGACCTTCTTTATGCAGAACCAGGGAGATATTGTATGACATTAAGGAATTAATTTTTCTATATAAATCATTCAGGATGGAGTTTCTGGTCCACTAAGAGTGTCCTTTTCTCAGAGTTGGGCTATACCCTGACTCATAAGCCCCTTTTCTCCTGTTCTCATTCAGCCTTGGGGGGATCTTTCCCCATCACTCTTCTTTGCCTTCTCAGGAGACAGCTTAAGAAATAATTATTTCTATATAAGTCATTCAGGATTATAACCTGGCTGTATTCAAAGATCAGACAAGAGGGCCTTAAAAATGGTAATAGATTCAAATACCACTGCCAATAGCTTAAAGAATGTCTCCCTTATTCGAGATCTATTCAGGCTTAAAAATGTGAACTTTCCTGCCCTTGCTAACTTCATTAGGCTTTAACTAACCGAGAAACCTGTATATTCAAATTTATCTCATATATATGCTCTCAAAGTTACAAATACATCTAACAGATTTTGTTCCCCCAGTCCTCAATTACCTGTTAAGATGTGAGAATATGGCATTTAATATAAAACCTTTTTATGGTAAAGAAACATGTCATCTCCTGGCAGTAGCATCCTGTATCTTCTCCCAAGAAGATAGATGGCCACAGAACCTTCACCTGGAAGCTTATGGCAAGGCTTGCCACACAGTGAAAAGCTGAGATCCTGTCCAGACTGTGAATAAGAGTAACAGATTGGTTTTCCTCTCTGCCAAGACAGGTAGGATGACCTCCCCAAATTTCTATTTCACACACACACACACACACACACACACACACACACACACACACAAAAAAAAAAAAAAAAAATCTATCTTATCAACTGAACAAGTGCTTCCTTTGGGGCTTCTGCCCCCACCCCAACGACCATGGAGAGACTTGGGATTGCTGCCTAGGTAGCTGGAAAACTGTCTCACTTCTTAAATTTATCCTTCTCAGATCTGACGATGTTTGATGACTAGGGTGCATCAGTTTGATAACCCCAATTCCAAGATTACTGACAGTTCACTAATAAGTTTCCTATTAAAATTACAGACAGCTATGCCTCATTCACAGACTTCATGGTACAGGATAGACTGGTTTCAAATATAACTCCAGAGGTTCAAATTTTTAATATTGATGAATACAGCTTTGATAAACCAATACAACATTGACTAAAAGCAATTCTTAAGAGTCCTTGAATTTCTATGGATTTTTAACCCTTTTGCCATGATGTAAATCTATTACAGCTGTCTTACAGATACCTACAGGAAAAGTTCTGCTACTGCATCAAAAATCAGGTCTGATAAAAATTAACAGTCTTCAGAGCCCATTCTGACCTCATTCATTTTCAAGAATATTTTGCAGTTTCCCTCCTCCTGCCTGGGCCAATGGACTCTCCAGGTATGCCAGCCCCTGCAACATCTGTCACCAGCTTCGAGGTTGCCAACCCCAAACCGAGAATGCCAATTGGGATGGATATACCTCACCTCCAGAGAAATGACAGGTATGATGGCTGTTACAATTCTGAAAACCACATCATTCAATGTACCAATGTACTGCCAGTACCACCTTTCCAGGCTCAGGAGGGCACCTGCCCAGCAACTGGAACCTGTTCACCCTTGCCTCTTCTGTACAACCAGGGCACTTCTCTGTTCCATTCTTTTTTTAAATAAATATTTTATTTAATAATTAATTTAATTTTACATTTCAGCCACGGATTCCCCTGTCCTCCCTCCTCACACTCCCCAGCTTTCCCCCGCAATCCACCCCCCATTCCCATCTCCTCCAAGGCAAGGTCTACTACCCTGGGGATTCAGCCCAGCCTGGTAGATTCAGTTGAGGCAGGTCCAGTCCCCTCCTCCCTGCACCAAGGCTGAGCAAAATGTCTCAGCATAGGCCCTAGGTTCCAAAAAGCCAGCTCATGCCCCAAAGACAGGTCCCGGTCCCACTGCCTGGGGGCCTCCCAAACAGTTCAAGTTTATCAACTGTCTCACTTATCCAGAAGGCCTGGTCCAGTTCCATGGGGGCTCCTCAGCTATTGGTTCATAGTTCATGTGTTTCTACTAGTTTGGCTATTTGTTCCTGTGATTTTTCCAATCATGGTCTCAATATCTCTTGCTCATATAATCCCTTCTCTCTCTCACCGATTGGACTCCTGGAGCTCCACCTGGGACTTGGCCGTGGATCTCTGCATCTGCTTCCACCAGTCACTGGATGAGAGTTCTATCATAACAGTTAGGATGTTCGGCCATCTGATCACCAGAGCAGGTCAGCTCAGGCACTCTCTCGACCATTGCCAGTAGTCTACAGTGGAGGTATCTTTGTGGATTTCTGGGGACCTCTCTAGCACTCTGTTTCTTTCTATTCCCATGGGGTCTTCATTTATCATGGGGTCTCTTTCCTTGTTCTCCCACTCTGTTCCTGATCCAGCCAGGACCTCCTACTCCCCCAAGCTCTCTTTCCCCTGACCCTTGCCCTCCATTACCCCCCCTCACGTCCAGTTTGCTCATATAGATTTCATCCATTTCTCTGTCGCTGGGTTATCCCTGTATCTTTCTTTCTGGCAGTTATCACTCTACCCATGGCTAGAACAACTCATAAGGCCAATGATAACATTTTTTTTCTCCTAGCAACCTCAAGGAACAGATGCCAGAGATTTCCACAATGACAGCTAACAATGCTTCTTCACTCATGCCTCCCACCATGTGTGACTCCTGGCTTTCCCCCTCCCCACTTCACCCTTTGCCAGCTTGAAGTATTCTCAAGAATTCAGCGCCCTTGTTCCCTCACTTGCTCCCATAACTCACCTCTTTTTATAATAATCAAAATGGAGAAATGTTAATATTCTGATCCTGCCCCTTGGGGCTGCTGCCCTGCATCCTGATGTAGAAGCCTTTTCTTAAGGATAAACTCCGTCCCTTCCTCTTTCCCCTTCTGCTTTTCCTCTCATGAGATTTGCACCCCTCTCTCTCCCTCTCCCTCTGTATTCCTCTTTCTATCTTTCTGCCTCTTCATCTCTCTATTATAATAAACTCTGCATGTGGATGCAGCATCTGGGTTGTGTATTACTGGCTGCTGCAGCCACTACCATGCCTGCATGGAGTGGGTCATCCACCAGCCCACAGCCGCATCTGCCCAGCATGCCTAGCACATTTCCCTGCATGCACAGGATACCCTTTGGGGTCCCCTGTGTAATAAATAATAACACCTAGTCTTCCTGGGTCTGTGGATTGTAGCATAGATATCCTTTATTTTACAGCTAATATTCACTTATGAATGAGTACATACCATATTTGTCTTTCTCAGTCTGGTTTACCTCACTCAGGATGATTTTTGAGCACAGTGTACCTGCATTCCACACACCACCCTCTACAGTTATCTCTGGATGCTTGTGAAGAGGCAGAAACACAGTATCCAGCTATAGCCCCAGGAACAGTAGAGAGCTTGGAGTGAAAATTCATAAAATCTGAACACAGGACTTTCAGAGCTCACAGTGTTTGTTTTAAACATGTGGCGCTGTTACCATGTGGAAAGGTCACAAGGCATGACAAAACCCAGTATCAGAACTTTATTAGGAGGAAGGGGGAGGGACAGAAGAGAGTGACCAGGCTTGGGAAGAGACACATGCAGATGGGGGAGGAGGAGAGAACAGAAGAGAGAGGAGGAGTCTGTGACCGACCGGCTTTTTAAGGATTTTCCTGCACATGCGCATTGTGGGCTTACAGAGCTATGCCACACATGTGCTGATTGCGTGATCAAGCTGCGTGCATTTGTGCAATCACGCAGCACACTGATGACATAAGACCTAAGACCCCTTACTTAGCTACTAAACTGCATGTGCGGTCATATAGCTGTAGTGGCAGAATCCTAACACACAGGGTCTAGAGACTGCTGTCTGACCTTTGCCTAGTGATGCTTGAATTCTGGGGGTTGGAAATTTCTGGGAGGGCAGGGAAGACAGAGAGAGTTGCCATAGAAACAGCTGAAGGCTGAATGTTTTGTTGCTGAAAGGGATGATTTCCAGTGGGTCAACTAGCTATTCAAGGAGGGACCCCTCTCAAAAAATTAGCCTGACCAGGTGTGTGATGGGGGGGAATAAGGAACTATTAGAGATAATAGCTAAGAGCAGAGGTAGAGGTGGCCTTGCATCCCCTTAGCAGCAGCAGTAGAAGTGGCAACAAAGCTTCAGGGGTGGCTACATCAAAATTCCCTTGCAAAGTACACCTCTATAGCAAAGCACCTGTGACCTTCACCATAAGAATGAGTTCAATTGACTGATAAACAGTGCTCAGGAATCAGGGCCTCGGGAGGAAGACTTTGTAATAAGCATAAAGATGGGTTTTATTAATTGAGAATGCTAAGTACATGATACCTCTTTCATAAGGATGGGTTCACTGGGATACAAAGCTCAGGATTAGGACCTAAACAATGCTCAGGATTTGGGAGGATTCAAGTGAAGGCTACCCCATAGAATCACAAAAGGTCACCGGGGTGTTACACAACATCCATTCCAGCCTTCTGGGTGAATAGGTGCCAGTGCTTTCTTCCCTTGAAGACAAAAGCCTGCATGTTTAACAATTCTAGTTTTTCTAATACTTTTTATAAACTGTGCCTCCTACAACACACCAAAGCTGCTGGCTCGTGGATCTTGGACTTCCTTCGTCTAGAACTACAAAACGAATTTCTGTTTTTTCTAAAGAACCAAGTCCTGGGTATTTTGTTACAGCAGGATGGACTAAGGCAGCAGTTTGGTAGGAAAAACAGCAAGCAATATTGTGAAAACTGGCTTTTGTGTATCTTTGAGGAGTACTTGATTAAATGTGTGTTAGGGTTAGATGGCTTGGGTTATTTGGAGTCAAGCGCTGGCACATTAAGCTGATAAAGCATCAGAAGAAAGCCCTGGATCATTTCCTTGCAGCCCTTCACTTCTAGCCCAAGAGTAGTCCTGAAGGTCAACCTCGTTCCCAGGTGGAATGTCTCCTTCCTGACATTTATCTTTGAGTTATTATGTAGAGCTCCAGAGAGCAAAGCCAAAAGCACCTCAAGCATGAGATTGTCTGTGGGGTTGGGACAGAAGCAGCCATGGGTCGGGATGGTAGAGCCAAGGTAACACTTCAGGTAACACTCATTTTATATCTCCAGTCCTTATGATTTCATTTTTCATCATTTAAAATCTGATGATTAGAGAGGGCAAATTGCCATAAAGAGAGTTGCTCTGAATCCTTTTCCTTTAAACAGTGTCTTCCTGCCACCTCTCTGGGAACTTCCTTAGAACTCAGGCACTGGGTTCTGTGACCTTGCTGGAAATGACCTTCAATTTGCTTTGCTTAGCAAAACTATATGTGGTTCTGATAGCCTGGCTAGCTGCCTTTCACCTCCACAAAGCCCTCCATGACCCTCCAGCTCAACTTAAGTTGAGGCTTGTTCCCACTGTATTGCATGGCTATTTCTGTGGCTGTTTTGTGAGTCAGTACAACTGCAGTGCCTTTCATGATTGATTCTCCATCCTCTGGCATTGTGCTGGGTAGTAGGAAACATACGATAATCCTTTGCAAACAAATCCTTGACAACTGTCCGTTGTGATTTTTTCCCCTATATCGTAATGACATACTGCATTTTAATCATTATTTTACCACCTCTAACCCTGACATTTAAGTTCTGGTTTCTATTGATCAGAGAGGGCTTTGAAGTTCATTTTAATTTGATTTTTGTATTTCGGTGAAGGACTCAGCTATCCCATGTGACTCACTCCAGATAATCTTGGTTCTCTGTGAGCACAGCAGGGAACTTTAGTGCAGATTTTACTGGAATGCATTACCAATCTTTATCTTTAACTTACTAAATTACATAGCAATGACTATGAAAAGGTAAAATTTAAAATCCCATATAATTAAAAAAGAAAATGGATTCGAGTAGTCATATGTTCTTGTGATAAAGTGTGTATTTTTATACAGTATCAGTGCTGAAGGCACACATTCAATAATTTTTTTTTTAAGATAAGGTCCCATTCTGTAGCCCAGGATGGTTATTGTACAGAATAGCACTGAACTTGCAACAACCCACTGCCTTAGCATCCTGTGTATTGTTATTACATGCATTATGCATGCACTACCATGCCCAGCTAAATATTCAGTTTCAGTTTCTTGTCTACTTTTCAAAAGCATTAAGGCAACATGTAAGAAGTGGAATCTATCTCACACTTATGACCAGTGTGAAAGAACAAGGACTTAGCAACAGAAACTTATGTGCCATAAGCTTTATTCTTAGTGTTCATCATCAACCTTCATAAGGGGGAGATGCCCAGGAGGTCCCACTTCTCCTTGAGGGACTAGGGCAGTTCAGTATTGTTACAAGATGATCCCATGAGCCACAATTCCCTTGTGGGTCCAGAGACTCAATCCCTCCCTGAAGGGCTACTGGTAGTTAACTGTTGTTGGAGGAGAGGCTCATGAGGCCCTACCCCTCCCAGAAGGTCTAAGACAGACAGTTAACTATTGTTAGAGGAGAGGCCTTTGAGCAATTCCCCGCTGCAAGAGACTCATGAAGCCCACCCCTCTGTGAAGAGCCACTGTCAGTTAACTGTCATTGGGGGAGATGTCCATGAGGCCCACCCATCTCTGAGGGTATAGGACAGTTAACTGTTGTTAGATAAGGAGCACATAAAAAGCCTTCCTTGAGGGGCTCATGAATTCCTACCCTTTCCTCATGGTTTTTGGGAGAGAGGTGTCCTTTTATTTAATGATGTTACCTTTCCCTCATTGTTGTTGGGAGAGAGGTGTCCTTTTTTTAGTGATATAGGTAGCCATGAATAAGTTGTCTTTGCTCCAGTAAATAACTTCTTACCCATGCTTAAGCAAGAATCTGTGGTGATATATTGTGTACCCTAGTAAACTTGCCTGAGGATCAGAGGACACAGCTAGCCACTAGATTAGACATTGAGGTCAGGCAGTGGTAGCACACACCTTTATTCCTATCACTCAGGAGGCAGAGATCCCTGGATCTCTGTGAGTTCAAGGCCACACTGGAAATAGAGCCAGGCATGATGGCTTTAATCCCAGTACTGGGAAGCATACATGCCTTTAATCCCAGGAAGTGATGTCTGGGCAGAGAAAGGTATATAAGGCGTGAGGAAACAGGAACTCACTCTTTAGGCTGAGGATTTCGTAGAGGTAAGAACTAGTGGCTGGCTGTTCTGCTTCTCTGATCTTTCAGCTTTCACCCTGATATCTGCCTCTGTTTTTTTTTTTTTTTATTATAAGACCTTTTAAGATTCATGTTACAAGAATCCGTTTAAGCTCAGTAGTTAACATGCACACAGAGAGTGGGAATGGGACTTGGAGAGATGAATGATTCTAATGAGAAAGGAAAGAGAATGAGGGAGGGAGGGGTTACAATGACTAAATGTCAAACACTTAAAACATGTCTTCATATTGAGAATTCTCACTCAATTTGTCTGAACTCTCCTTATTGCATAAAGACACACCAGTAGATAACAAGAAGAGAAACAGGCTGTCTACAACTGACCTGGCAGTCAGATACATGTTCAATGGAAACCACAAGAAAGGCAAAACCTGCCTTGCTTTCTGGGTGGGAAAGTAATGAGTCATCATATTCTTGTGATAACTAGAATGACCAATTCATAAACTCTGTGTAATAGCTTTTCGCTTGTTGGGACTAATGCTCCATTATTTTACTTTCCAACTCCTGGTACGTACAGCTGCCAAATGCAATGTGATGGCATCTTCTGGTTTCTGATCACATATAATAAATGTACTTGGCTCCTGATGCTGCCTGATAAATGAAAGAAATATTCACACCTCCCACTAACAGCTATGGAGGTTGAGGTCTTTTTTCAAGGGAGAAATGAACTTTTCAGTGCAATTTGTGCATGATAATATGTAAGGAGTGTGAAACAGATTGTATGACCTTCTTGAAATAGCAAAGGTCACCAGAACCCAGCTATGTCATAGCTTGGCTGACCTCAGCCTATTAAAATTAGAAAGGCTTTTTTCTCAATTCAGTCTACAGAATGTGAACTATACCCAAGATTGC